GTCGTGTCACGAAGTGTTCTGGCGATGTATTGAATTTATTGGTGCCTCTGGAGACACCTTACATTTTGTTTTATGAGAGAGAGAGAGGATATTGGCAGATCAAGATCTTCAGATAATGTGGTGCTGCAGGTTTTTCCGGGTTTTCCTGAAGCTGAAATAGCAAATGTGCCACTGGAATCAATGAAGTCGTCCCGGAGCGCCAATTAATTTTTATTGTTGTTTTATGATTTCATGATTTGTATTTTCGACATAAATTATCAAGAAAACTGCAAGTCATTAATGTTTATGTAGATGATATTTTTCACAATTTTCAATTCATGCAGAATATGAAACCCAGCAGATGAACAGTTTCAATATGAAAGACCTAGGTTAGCTATATGAGAATTACCAGGGACCAGTAACCGCCAAAGTGAAAAATTGTTGTTTAATTTCTTACGACCGGTCGTAACGAATAAAAATCTTATTAGAAATTAGACAAAAGTTATTTTCGCTATTCTAACATTTAGCGGAAGCACGAACGTCTTCTGAATGAGAATTGTTCTCATTTCATATTTTTACGGATGGCGCATATGTCGTTTGACAATGAAAAAAGTGTGCACAAAACTAACAGAAATTGAACAAACAAAATACGTCCAAAACATAAAAGCACTGTTTGGAACCTTTGGTGTAGTAATGAATATTACTGGAGTTTTTTCCCGACACCAAACCGTTATTTTAACACCTAACACAAGTGATCGTATTTTAACACCTCGACACGTGTTTCGATCACCAAGTGATCATATTCAAAAGGAAGATCAAAGTTAGTTTGATCTTCCTCTTGAAGATGATCACATGGTGATCGAATCACGTGTCGAGGTGTTAAAATAACGGTTTGGTGTTGGGAAAAAACTCCAGTAATAATCGTTAAAAGGTTTAACAATTCCGAATCAAAACAAGTGAAAACGCCGTTGGATCCAAATAAAAAATTAACGAATGAAATGTCACTAGTGACGGCAGATGACATTTCAAAATTGAAAAATGTGCCCTAAGCTTGTCGCCTACTGGTCCAGCACAGCACAGCACGGCGCTGTCCGTCGCCTGATGGCGACGGGTAGTAGCATCGCCCACTTGTCCAATTCACTTGTTCAGTTGACATCGAGCGGTGACAAAAATATGCAGTTCTGACAAAGAAGTCGTCATCATAGTGGCCGCATTATTGAAGGTAGAAGAAAATAGTCACAAAAAAATTTTTGTGGGTCCATCCCATTAATCAAAAGAGGGCAAATCTGGAAGAGTTTCATCATTTTTTCAACGACCTGAAAGAAGACAGAAACTTCCCAGGCACGTTTGGACATGTTGATGCTGGCAAGCGCTGGTCGGCGACGCGCTCACTTGGCCAGTCGGTCACAGCATGTATCATTATTTGCCGGACAGGATCGAAGAGCTGGAATCTTTTCTAACGGCGGACGCTCTTGGCTGTGCCGTGTCGGGCTAGTGGGCGGTTGTCCATTCGTTTTCATTTTTCCAACCCTATCCGTATTTTGACGGGACGGACAGTGCCTTGCTGTGCCGGACAAGTGGGCGACAAGTGTTATCGAGAAGCCGTGGGCTGTCTTTCATATACAGCTCAAGTTTCACGACACGATATTTTTAGCGCTGTTGGTATTTTCAGTAAATTCAATACGCATCTTTGCCAAGCTCATTGGAAAGCTGTCAAGAGAGTTTTGCGGTACCTCAATAAAACATTGAACTACAGATTGAAGTAGGAAAGTGAGGGATCTATGGAACGTATTGTTAATATTGATGCAGATTAGGCAAGTGACACAAATGACAAACGTTCAGTTACTGGATATTTTATTATGTTGCAAGGAAGACCGATCTCATGGGCAACTTCATGCCAAGAAACTAGAAACCAGAGTATTCATACGTACTGAATCGAGGTTAATGACGCCTTTTCTTCTATTTCATTCATAAAGAGCTCAGTGAGTGGTCTTTGCAACTTAGTCTTCATCTTAAGTTTGTGTCTAATTTTTTGATTGAAAACTCATAGGCTTGTGGTACTGCACTTTTCATCATACATATAGGAAGAGTAGCCAGGCGGTTCGACGTGGGTGCTTTGTTCACTCACTCGAATTGACTGCCGTGTTGGTCGGTGGTTCAAGCCCCAGTCTGAACGTCCAACCCATGTTGGGAATCACACGTTAAAAGGTAAGGCCTCGTTAATCCTTAGCTCGCACAAGTTTCGACTTCTGACTGTTGTCGTTTGTAGGGGTGCGACAGCTGGTTAACGGAAAAACAGATTTTAAACAGACAGATAAGAATATATTATTGAAAGGTAAAACTGAAACCTCTGGCGTAGAATGAATTCAAAACAAGCACTCTTCTCAGTCATCAGAAATTCAATACTCTTCTCGAGGCGCGTTTCACCAAACAAGTTGGCGTCGGAAGATGAATAAAATTAATTATTAACCCTAAAACTGGTCTCTATTCATATCTAACAGTGTACACTTTCACTTTTCGATACACAATGATTTTGGGTAGACATTTTTTCGTGAAATTTTCCGAAAATTTCAACAAAGCGATTCATAAAAAAGGGTCAAGGAATGGAACCATAGTTCGCATGCTACACTTTGCTATTTTCAGACTTTCGGAAGTATACAAGAATCTAGTGATATGTATGGATCTCAAAAATTTCAGTTTTCATTTATTCTATGATTATGTGCTGCAATTTCTTAAGTTCTTTGACTCGCTTGGGCTGACCGATTTATTTTTGTCACAGTCGTCAGCTCATTTCATACATCTTCGACTTTTCATTTTCCAATATCTGGGATGATTTTTTACCATCATCTGAAGACAATCTTAGTTATCTGATGATGCTAACTTGGTAAGCGAAACGTGCGTCCAGAGACAGCATTTTTGTTCTGGTGAGGGAAAAGTGTTTTCAATGAATTATTCATTTCACGCCTAGGATTCCAAATTATACTTATCAAATTGAAAGGGGTATACTTTTGAAAGAAATTAGTTTTTGCGAAAAAAGGTTCAATTCAAACAATGAAATTCCTATGGCTGGGATTGAATTAAATAAGCGTATTACTATCATCAGGACATGGTTAGTGTTATAAATTCGGTCAAGGTCAACTGAAATAAAACAAGCAACTGTCTGCTATCGTTGTTATTTTGGTACTCCTTTATTGTGTTTCACTCAAATCATTTGAGATAAGAACTAAATGGCAATGTAATATTCGTATAATTCAATATTTATATGAAAATAGTTATTTCGAAACTACTTTTTTGACTGATCTCTCTTAATAAATCTCATCTGTTTCCTTGTTCATTTCGTAACATACCTGATGATGATAATAAAAATTGTCGAAAGCTTGGAATCTGTGTTATAAGAGTGAACTGTTTTGACCTGTTGCACATCCAAATATTGTACTATTGGGGTACGCAGCATGCAAAAAAATTGATTTCAATATTTTGACACTTTTTATTTTTCATCATCTGGAAAACTACAAGAGTACAAATATGTGTATTTACATATTGCTTAAGTTTTGATGAAACTACTTACATTTTCCACGAGGCAAATGGTGGAAAAGTAATCAAATATATGTACAACAAAACATTTTGGTAGAGTTGACAATACAATCTTTGTAATAGATTAAAATTGTATTATCATAAAACATCCTTGAAATTTTCGATGTCATAAAAATATACCCTTGATTCGTTACCAGTTATGACCTTTCGAACAAATCCGAAACGAACTTCGGTGCCACAAGCTTCATGTCCAAATCTTCCGAAAAATTGCATGTCATGAGCCAACTCAGCAACTTCTCTTATAGTAATTTGACTAACGATTCTCCATATCAATTTTTTTCACTTTCTCAACATTTTCATCGGTCGTTGATGTGCTGGGACTTCCAGGAAAAGTATCGTCATTCACATCTTCTAGACCTTCTGTTTGAAGCTTGTATCACTTGTAAACATTTTTCTGACTCAAAGTACAATCACCGTATGCCACTGTCAACATTTCAAGTGTTTTTGAGCACTTAATTCCGTTTTCCATACAAAATTTATGCAAATTCTGTGATACATTGAGAGCAAAAAATCACCGAACACGCAAAATACTTTCAACTTCTATGCCTCTCAACAACATATTAAACATACTAAATGAATTGATATTTCACAGATCAAAACTTGCGATATGACTTTTGAGAATGGTACATGAATCCACCCTGAAATCATTTCAATATCTTTCATCAAGATTGCATCTAGTTTGATTCATACTTCCAATTTATACATGATCTGTCTGTTTCTTTTTGAATGTGTTAAAAACTGTTTTACCGTTTATTTACTGTTGTCCCCCTACGAAGGACAACCCTCAAGTAGAAACTTGTGCGACCTGAAGATTAATAAAGTTTCATCTTTCAACATGCGATTCCTAGCACGGGTTGGACGACAGGCGATGAAATCGATTGTCCGGCCTCTGGGATCGAACCACTTAACGGGTGATTGAATGAGTGGAACAAACCACTCAAGCCAAACCCACCGTCTACCGTCCCGCCAGTTGTTGATAATGTGAATAAATAGTTCGTTTACCGAGTTTTTCGAAAATTCAATGTTTTCAATGAGAAAAGAACTCTATATCTACATTATTTAACAAAGAAGGCATGAACGAAATGAATTAGGAATAGAGTCAATGATAAAATAATTAGATTTATATGTATATACAAGAACATGACATTACTATCAAGACTAAATAAATAATAACTATATGATGGAATTGGCCGATGCTTGATGAAGAATCGATACGTTTTCAAAAAATCACTCCATTGTGAGACTTTTACTTAACACTCTTAACAGTTTTACAAAAAAACGCAACACATGTTTCGCCATTAAATGACAAGAATAATAATAAAGGGGAATACGACAGACTGTATGAACTCAAGAATACCTGATCGCACTGCCTTCACAACAGTAGCTATTTACTTACTTTAAAGAAGAGGAAATGAGTTACTTTTCGTCTTCGTTTTTTTCTCTTACATTTTCCATCAGGACATCAGGAACGTCATTAACAAATATATAATTTGTTTTCTTTTGGTAGATTTACTTATTCTCATCATTTGTAATTACTACATAAACAAAATGCAAGTTCCTCCAGTTTTTATTGATATGTCTCTTGAAGACCAGGTGATGTATTACAAAGTCAAATTCAAACAGATGCTTTGAGGTTATATTTCTTTTACAGGCTCAGGATCTTAGAGTATATTTAAAAAATTTGGGAGCAGAAATATCCGAGGAAAAGTCTCCGAAAGGTATAGAAGACGATCTTCATAAAATCATTGGTGTTTGTGATGCTTGTTTTAAAGAAGGCCAAGAAGCTGAGGTTGAACTTGTTTTAAATGATATTGTTTCGATTATGGTCTTGGTTAGTTACAATATTCTTATGTGAAAAGGATTACAATATTTAATTTTCAGATTCCATCAGAAAGATCCGAGAACATAATATTGGCTTTTTGTGAAAAATTAACCAAAGCTCAGGGTCTTGAATTAGGGCAGGTTTCTTTAAGAGCGTAAGTGTACTTACAATGTGGTCTCGAAGTATTGAACTATTAGTTTTTTGCACTTTAATTCATTTAATATTCAAGGTATTGCCTTTTCTGGGCTACCAGAAAAAATGCATCCTCTACCAAACAGTGAGGTAATCTCTTCTAACTTATTTCCAACCAGAATGAATGTTCCCAAATTTTTTTCAGCTTATGGCTACTTTTCCAATCGTTGGATGATCATTCCCCAATGCGATATCCAGTTTATTACCATTTAATACAAATTGCCAAGCAAACAGACTCGGTAAAATCAGTGTTTCAAGATGTTGAGCATCTTAAGCAGCAATTTGCCAATTGTCCTCCCTCTAGCGATCAACTTCAAAAACTGTACAGACTTCTACATGAAGTCTTACTTAAGAGTAATCAGAGGTATTTCAATCCATCTATTTAAAACTTTGCATATTTCATTATTTTTGAAGACAATTTTAATTCAACATTATCTCTTTCAGTGAACAAGCCGCAATGGTTATGAAAGAACTCCTAGGAACTTACACTGACAAAAATGCATCTCATGCCAGAGAAGATGCGATTAGATGTATCGTGTCGGCCTTGGCAGATCCTAAAACATTCCTGCTGGATCCTTTACTCGACCTTAAACCTGTGAGATTTCTTGAAGGAGAGTTGATACATGATTTGTTGAACATTTTTGTTAGTGAAAACCTAGCTGCATACCTCAAGTTTTACCAAGAACATAAGGAGTTTGTAACTACTCAAGGTATGTATACTAATCTCTGTAGAAGGGATTCAAATCACCTTGTTGAAGTAAAATTTATGTAAGATCAGAGCCGTTTTGTAAACTTATGATGTTGAATAAAGTTTTGTTTACTCCTCAATACTCTTGAAGAGTTGAGTAATATTCGTGGTAAGAATATGTTAGAAGTTAATGATTTTGATTAAGAAGATTGTGAAGTTAACTAATTGAAATGTCTGAAAAAAATTCCTTAGAATGTGTTGAATAAAAGGTCTCATGATCAGAAACTGTCAGAATGTTAGAAGGGTGATTTTACAATTTGCCAAGTTTTCGTCTCTGATATTAGATATCTGAAAATTATGAAAATTTTCTTTATTGCTGAGGAGACTTTTAATTTTAGAGTGGAGGCAAGAAATTGTTTTGTTGTTCCTTGTGAAAATTCTGATATCTGTGATGTCTCGAAAATATTGAGTAATTTGGAAGTCAATATTGAATTACGTAGTTCCGTATGACAAAATTAATTATTATTGTTTGAGGAAAAAGAATAAATTACTTTTCATTATACATCTATACTTATAAATGTGTCACTAACTTAATACTCATTCATCTCTGTTTCTACTTGATGTTTTTTGTTTCTATCATATGTTTGAACTAAATCTATTATTTTTGTAATGGTATTGCTCGGTAACTTAATAAAATTTTCATAAAAAGTTTTAATAATAATTTTTTCTTCTGTGTCTACTTCTGCAAAATTTAATCTGTCATTTTTTTCGATATTTTCTCCTACTTTGCTGTCTCTATGCCTTAATGGGTTTTTTGGAATTGCTCCTGTATTTGTTTGTCTTTGATTTTCCATGTAATTAAAAACCGTTCCGTTATCTGGTTGATGAACTCTTCCATTTGGATTTATAAGTATATTATTTATCTCTTGCCTATTATACCCTGTCCCTCTATTTTTATCATTTCTTTCCACATTTCTCCCTTTACCTGTACTTTGTGCATATGTTCTTTTTTGACTACCATTGTTTGTATTGTATACCTCCCTACGTTGTTCTACTGTGATTTGGTTGTTGATTGTATATTGTTTTTGTAGTGTTGGAAAGTCACGTGAGTTTTGGGTGTATGTTGGTTTGTCTTTTGGAAAGTGTTTCACTGCTTCATAGAAGGAAATGTTTTCGAAAGTCATTTTTTCTCTGATATTTTTTTGTCTTTCATATTCTGCACATGCTCTATTATTTGATTTGTGTTCGTAACTTTTACAAAATAAACATTTACTTATTGTACAATTTTTGTATTCCTCATCGTGTTTGTGTTGTTCTGTGCAAGAAAAACACTTCCTTTTACCTTTGCAGTTTTTTTTTATGTGTCCATAGATAAGGCAATTATAGCATTGAGTGACTGGTGGTATGTAAGGAGTTGTTACGTATGTCATATAACAAATATCTACATATCTAGGAATTATTGTTCCTTTAAAGGTAACTAATACCGTAGAAGCTGGTACATATGTTGGTTTTTCATTTATTATAACTCTCCTATTCATTCTTTTAACCTGTATTACTTTATAAGGACTTTTTATCATTTCTTTAATTTCATTTTCTGTAAATAAAATTGAAATTTCCTTTATTATGGCTTTACATGTTACATGGCTATACGGGATGTAAGCTTTATATCCCTTGTTCTTAAGTTGTTCATTATTTATCATGCTATTAGCACTTTCCCTATCTTTATAGTCTATGCCTATTTTATTATTACCTTTTATTTTTATTTTTATTATATTTCCCAATTTTAAATCACATACATCTTTGGCGATTTCTAAATGAGAAAAACGTCTGAGATTTCTGTGTTCCAAAGTTGACTCTACAATAATTGTATATGGCCCCTTATCCATTTCATTATATAATATTATTTCATTAGTTGATTGTTCTTCTTCCTCCATTTCATTATTTGTTTGTGAATTTACTGATAAATTTTCCGTATATCCCCTATCAAAAAAACGTGAACTGCTTTGGCTTTCAGAGTTTCCCGGTTTCGATTCCAAGATACTCTGTACCTCCGCATCAACACTATCATTGCTTTCAATGTCATCAGTATGTATATGTGGTTTTTTTTTGGGGGAGGATATATCCTCCCCCTCCTCTTCTAACATGTTTACAGTACTTATTTGCCCAAGATTTTATTTTTGTAAATTTTCTCTCAAAAAAAAATTATCAACACTTTTTATGCTTTGCAAATCTACTCAATATTAATTTCAATTTGTCAATATTTGAAAGAAAAGGTTAGCAAGAAAAAGTTCCCCAAAAAATTAGTAGCACACCTGTTCGTCAGTCCGATGTTCACACGTCGAGAGCTGCACCACCAAGCCACCAATCCTCAAGAGTCTTATACCAACAAAGCTGTCAAGTCATCAAAAAGTCTGGATGTTACCAACAGACATCACACCGCGAACTTTTCGCAGAATTGCCGTACTAATATTGAAGTAACAACGTAGCATTTGGTCTTTTAGCTTTCTACTGTGCCGAAATGATTGAATATGTAAATGAATGTGATGGTTCTCATCGTCGAGGGAGTGGACTGTCATAGTACTAGCAAGAAATATATGTTTTTCTGTGAAGTGATAGTATTATCTGTAACACAGTTTAAGTGTCTGTAGTGCATATATGTCTGCAATCGAAAGACGTGCCATCAATCTACGAAAATATATGAAGCAATAAAAAAAGCAGTGCAGCATTGCATTGCATACAGCAAAACTTGAGTACGCCCACGAGTAACATGGCTTACTGCGCCTAAACGGCAGCAAAAACCAATATTAATGAGAAAGAGAGAGAACGTAATAAAATATATGAAAAAGTATTTTGATATAGGTAAAGTTTAATTCAAATCAAATGGAAGACTATCATCCTCAATGGTGCACTTCTCGGAGTTTCAGGGTGAAAATACTTGTCATTAACTCCTCATCATCATCTTTTGAACTTTTGAGGGTGGAAACATGTATTTCTGGTGCCGACTTTGAAGGAAATGCATGCGAATGATCTACAAATTTTTGCAAAACGTTTATTTTATGTTAATTTCTTTATTTCTTTTTTCGAACCAGTTAAAATTGAAAAACAAAGTTAATGCTAACAAGAGCAGATTTTTACAATTAATGGTAAGAAATGAGACTCCATGTTAGTGAAAAATATAATTTTCTAAAAATGTTTGATAACTTTTTCTGTTCAGAAAGTATCTGGCAAGAGATAAAAGCATGCGTTTCCACTAACACAATTGAATTATGGTAACATATTTTTATAATTGAACTAGCGGTCCAACCTGGATTCGCACAGGTACCATTTTTTCTGTCACTAATAATAATGACTTATGATTAAATTCACTCAGACAAGTAAGTACTGATCTACTTGACTTTAACCTTCAAATTCAATACATAAAAGAAATCCAACGCAATCACAACCTTTCTTCATCGTGCGTGTCGCATCGGTTTGTCAAGACACTTGAACTATTTATTTTGTCGCGGATTAGTTTTACTGTTCATGAAGTGGTGAATTTCATTGGTTCGGACTTTTATTGTCATATGTGATCCCACAATGATTATAAATTTATGAATGAATAAATAAAATTAGACTAAATAGTTGAAATATCAATTATGTATCAAGCAATAAAACCTGAAATGAAAATATAATAAAACGAATAAATAATCAAAAAAAAATATAACAATAACAAAAATTAAAAATGAATTTAAAAAAGATTCAAAGCCAGATTACTTGACCACGTTTCGATTCTTAGTATCCTCAATCGTCTTCGGATGGTGACTGGATTGGAGCGCTTTCACCTATATCCTCATTCTTCTCTCCGCTTCACCGGTTTAGCGAGAATTGACCGTTTTCCGCTTGATAATAGGTTTCCATATGTTTCGTATTTCTACGCTAACTTGGCTGAATGCGTCGTTGAACATATATACAATTTTTTTAACTTCCTCTCAAACCAGTGTTCCTTCCTGTGGATGATCTCAGCTTGGGACACCTTGATGTTATGTTGATGAGTCCAAAAATGCTCTGCTAATCTAGATCAGCTGGTTTCTTCTTACTATGTGTTTCTTGTGCTCGGCATTGCGGACTTTCAATGCCCTTTTTGTTTTATCGATATAGGATTTGCCACACTCACAGAGTATTCGGCAAATGCAATTCTTGGAATCGCAGCCGCGTTTGGTGGCCTGGTTTTTGTGAAGCTGCTTGCTACGGATGGTGTTTCCGGATCTGAGCAGGTTCTGATGTAGGGGATTACAAGCACAGGTTGAGACGGCTTCTCAGCCTTGCAAGGCTCTTGCTGTCTTTTGGCCAAATTCAGTTCCACTATCACTTTGGAGTAACAATTTCGCTGTAGATATTTTTTGATGTTGTCTAGTTCCATCTCGAGACCTTCCTTCATATTACAGTGCCCGAAAGCACGATCCACTATGGTCTTGATAATTCCTCTTTTGGTAGATTGATGGTGGTTGGATTCGTGATTCAGATGCTGACCCGTGTGATAGAAGGTCTTACGCTGTTGATGGCTTCAGAAAGGTGTTTAGTTCTGTATTTCCATGGTTCCATACTATGAAGTGTTGTCAATTTGTCGTCAACGTATCTCTACTAGACTCGGACCTTCTTATGGACTTCTTCAATGACCAGAGTTTCGAAACACAATATATATATATATGAAATTCACCATGAAACATTGCCAACCACTTTCAAACAAACGTCTATGAAATGTTCAAGGTAACTAAGGTATTTATTTGATAAGGATCAATATCCTGTCCATCTAGAAAGCTTTCCAGTTACACTTTATCTGTAAACATTATTTTAGATGTTGATATGGTAAAGTAAGCTCTTTTGTGTAGATCTATAGAAGAATAAAATTAAGTGAATTGTTCTGTTTTGACGCGAAGGGATTGAACTGCGTTTTTCATAATTCATAAGAGCGTGCACAGGTTGGATCACTCATTCGTTTATTGGTGGAAACCGTATGAAAATTCGTTTTTGTCATCGATAGTTTTTGAGTTCATCGCGTTCAAACGGACAGAAACGGGGGGCTTTAGACGAATTCAATTGAATTTGTTC